CATGTGTCTGACCATAGCGCGTACTCCTATCGGCAGTTCCTGCTGCGAAAGTACATCCTGGCAGTGGTCTCCTCGGGCAGGGAGACGCACGACAACTCCGGTTACCGCTCCATCAGGTACGACGGCCCATTCCTCTACATGGGTCGTCACGACCTCGATGACGATGAACGGACGTTGCTGGAACGTATTCGCGAGGTCGCGCGTCTCGAGCGTGATCACGGTTACTTGACCACCGACGTTCGCAAACTTAGGTGTTACCTAACGGCGTTGTCATACTGGACGGAAGAGTGCTTGTATAACGAGCAGTACATCACTTTGCACGACAATCACGAGACGTTGTGGTGCCACCGTAGGTTCCTGGCGTACTTGATCGCTGTTCTCACCGCCGCGTACGCGAGGCACGCCTGTTACCGCGAAGACGATTTCTGGGACGCTCGGTGTCACGACGAGCCGTCACTCGCATCGCTTCTTCGCGACAGACGTTTCACTACCGATGACGACTTGTTAATGGCAGCTCACGTGATGCTCGTCAAGTCCTTTTGCTCGGTTAGTGTCGGTATCATTGAAATGGCGGTCAAGCGCCCGCAGGAAAAAATGTTTATCGAGAGATTTTGCAAGTATCTTGAGAGAATAGGTTTGCGATGATCAGGATCAGCGTGTGAGATTTTGAACTTGACGAAGGCGCGATGAGCCGATCGTAGGATTTTTCTTGTCATCAGGGTGTGTAAATATAAAAGTAATAAGCGTGCAAGCGATCGCGCATTAATGCTCGCGCAATAATTTTGTTGCAACACGATTTCTCTCTTTTTTGTGATTTCGTATCGTCTAAGTCACGTTAAGACGTATTCGATATGTACGATGTTATTCAATGGCGTTTATTTAAAGTAGTCGCAACGTAGTTTGTTTTTTAAGGTTTTTGGTATTCTTGAAATATTTTTAAGACGTTTGATTGTGTGCTTTCTACCCAATATACGGAGTGAGTTATAAGTATGCTTTAAAATTTTGTGAGCGTGTTTCTGAATTAAAAAAAGGAACAAATGTTTGTTTAAACATTGGATTGCAAATCCAATGTTGTCGAAGTAATGGACACAAATATAGTAGTATTAAATAATGACTTTATTTAAAAGTTTCAAGTGGGAATTTTTTGTTTACAAGAAATGCTCAAAGTATCCTGCATCATTTTCCATACATGTTTAACCAAGAATCTGATTTGATACTCAATCATTATTTCAAATCTTGAATCCATTATCTTGGGTCCATTTGATAACGAAGCATTTACAATCTAAAGTTTGTAGGAACATTTGTTTTTCCTTCTTACTCAGGAACGTTCATAAAACTTTAAACATACTTATGATTCACCCTGTATATATTTTCTAATTTTTTATTTTATTTATATATTTATGAGAATATCTTTTTCATATATTTCGAACATAAAACCCTTCTAACAAGGGTTGATTTAATTTTTATTTTTGAACCTGATCTTTCTTGGCAAAGGAAAGTTTTTCTTTTATAGGAGAAATATTTTAAAAACCTGTAAAGAGAATACATTTTAGGAAAGGAAGTTTTTTATAACTTTGAAATATTCCAGTTTGGTGCTCAAAGAATTATTCTCTTCGATTCGTGAGGAAATTCTTTCGCGTTAGTTAGAACACGATTGCGATAAGCAGGATTCAATGTAGATAGGCAAAATTGAATCGTTATCGATACTTAATTCCCGCATTATTCGCTCGCGACTTCGTAGCGACTTCGACGAGTCATCGAGTACACCAGTGATACGTAAAAGTGAAATATAATATAATAACGAAATATAGGATATATGTGAGAAATGAGGAGGCGAATTCGTCTCGCCGAGAGGAATCTCCGTCAAGGACGGAGTACGAAAGTTTTGTGAGAACAATTATGTATACTTATAAAATATTGAACGAGAAAGAAAAATGAAGATGCTAGTTTTCTAAGATTGTGTTCTTTTTATCGCATCCCGTAATGATGGGTGTCCATCTCTTTATCCATATTTTTCAGGGTCGTAGTTGAGATCTTTGTGAGTTCTAAAGTAAAAGAATCCCGCACTGATTATATAGAGAATTAAGTCCCAGTGAAACGAGTCAGTTTTCGCGTATAGGCAGGTATTCATAATCAGTTCTTATATTTAAGACGTTCTTAAGTACAGTTTTGAGCTATCATAAGCCAATTACAGAATCGTATTAGCGTCTTAAGGCATTACTTAAGACGGTCTTAAAATAAGATTATGAATACCGGTCATAATGTAGCTTATAATGTAATGAATAAAAATGTTATAAATCTAAGGTTCAACAATAATAGTTTTTGAATTAGATGTATCAAAGGTGTAAAACTTGTGCTCAAAGAGTATCATTGGTATAGCTCAAAAACTGTCTATTACGAGCCTTGTGTCTACGACTCCTTTTGTTTACATTATAAACTACATTATATAAAAAATCATTTGAATCTCACTCAATTTTCCATATAATTAGTGCGAGATCCTTTATAGTAAATTTCTAATGCTTAGTAATAAAATCAACTCCTCTTCCTGTTATCCTGTTCACATAGATCTGAAAACATTGTTCTTCTTTACTGTCCTAGTTTAGGTCCACAATCTTAAGAGGCCCTAAGCCGTAAAGCCATAAGAAATTGATCATTCACAGTCGACTATTTTTCTCCTACTCAACTGTGATTGGTCAATTCCTTAAGGCTTTACGGTTTACAGCTTCTTAAAGCAAAGTTGTGGACCTAGACTTATTCCTTGAAAATACAGTCAAAAGACTATCTCGGAAACACCTCGATTGATTTATGTCGGAAATGCTGTGTGATGTCGCTGCCACGATTACCATGTCACTAACGGCTGTCAGCTGCGTTCGGCTTTTTGGCACGACGCGATAACTGAAATAAACGAACTTTTATTTAACGCATGGCTCGCTCCTCAGTCACACTCGGGCGGTCGCTGCACTCGCACAATTTGAACTCGTGCGAATCACTTTCGTTCCGTGAAGAATTAAATTACGCTTGACTCTCTGGCTGCAGACCCGACACTTTCAAGTAAAATTGTAAATTTCGCAAATAAATCTTGAAGTAAATAATTAATTGATGTTTCCCTTGTTGTCAATTTATCATTGCATTGTTTATTTATATTGGTTAATTTAAATAAAGCAGCAAATAATTCAAATAGTATGCTATAAATACGTGTTTCTATACTTTATTTGTCGGGAATTTCGAAAGATCAGTTTTACTTGGCTGCAGCCAAAGGATGAAAGCTTTACGCGAGCTTGACATAGTTCGGGCCTTGCGTAAACAAATTCCGAGTTGGCATTGAAATCCTTTCTTTTTTGAGACAGAGGTGCAAATTTATAATTCGCACATTTAGCGTTCTCTTGCGTTATACGTTTTTGCGACACGCGAGGAAAAAATAATTTCCCGTACACATTTCACGCGTTTAATTAATTCTGTTACCATATCGCGAAGTATCGGCATTTCGTTCACTATATACATATCGTAATAGAAATAAACCATCAAGCTTTAACTCAGTCTGTCAGTTGCGTCCGAACGTTTATTTCATGCAGCCAATCATAAGCTTATCAATAGTGCGCTTATCACCGACAACGTTTTAAGCTTTCAACGGATAAAACGTTCATTGAATAAAATATTCCATTAGATTTTGCTGCTCACTAATGGTACCGAATATTCGCGACTCTTGAAATCATAAAAAAAAAAATGACCAGATCTACGAGATCACACAAATTCCTAGAAGCTGACGCGTCGACACGTAAACTCGCGAATCACAAGCAAGCAGCGGTCGGCTCTTCGGTATATACGAGAAATGATACTTCTGGCAGTATGACGTCGACCATCGTGATCCACAGCTTCGCGCGAGATGCTGTCGGAGCGACTTTCGTCAGATCGTGATTGATCTCGTTTTACAATAGCTAAAGGTGTATTTAAACGAACCGATTCTCGATTGCAAACATCGCAATTTTAACTCTGACGAAATATTTTTGCGTCGAGTCGATAATTGTGAGAAACTAGCAAATGATCAGTAATATTGAAGAATACAATCGAAAAGTGTGTTAATAACAATAAAGTCGAATTATTTTTAAAACAGTTATATTCGGGAAATATATTTCAATACTTTGTATGTAAAATATTTACAAATTAACTTAATTATTAAACTTTTTTAAAAAATAATTTATATCATGTAAGGTAATTTTACTCAATATGGCTAAACATTGCGATTTTTGCTGAGTCCAACATTAAAAAGTAATTGAGATTCAAAATAGGAAATATTTATGAATATTAAAAATATGAGACACGCTTTCAATACATGAGTACAGTAAAGATTTAATTATTTATGTAACTATCTACAAATAGCAAGTAAGCCATATTGGATGTTAGACTATATTGGTTGCAGTTACCTTATCTGTTCTCTAGGTGTTAATTAAAATTTAAATTTCTGAACTCCGTTGAATTTATGTGAAAAATAATAAAGTTAAATGCTGTAACTTTTGAAAAATGCCATAAAGACGTAGAATATTATCGTTTATATCGTCTTGGACTTTTCTGTTCCTCTTTGAAAGAAGAGATTATTATAGTTTGATAAAATTGTATAAGTTCTAAAAATTCACTTTATATAATAATGAAATAATAACATAATACAATAAAAAAATAACATATTAGTTATTATACTTGAATGCTGATAATATCAACACAATTGCGAAACTTCAACAACAGAAATATAGATATATTGGTTATAATATAAATAAATGTAAGTAATTCTGATATAATATTTGCCAGAATCTCGTCACGCCGATCATTCATCGATGCATCTGTTCTAACATTTTTGATTCCAAGTAACTCATCCGGCAACGTTATCAAATTGTTTATTCTAATGATTCAGAATTCGGGCAAAGACCTCGCAAGTACAGGAAAGAAGACAGTTTCCTTGTCTGAGAAACGAATAGGGATAAAACAATAGGAAAAAAAAACAAGGTTCTTGCGATACGGATAATTCCGTGAAGGACTCGAGAATGAACACTAAACAATGTGGGTCGACGATGCTGATGAATGGTGACTATCAGTACCGATCAGTGGCATCAACATCTGAAATGCTCGCGATTATAAATTACGCAAGTATACGTTATAAAACTTAAGTGCATGATTGACGGATCATCAAAAACACGCTGTCGAAAGCGGCTGCACGTGACTGTTTCCTATCACTACCATTGGTCGATCCGGGCGATAGGCAACGAGCCGGTCGATAAGCATCCTCGCGAATTCCTCGCCTGCCTCAAGAATAGACGCCATTGACCATTGTCAACTCAGTTTGACCGAGTTTTGCCGTCGCGTTATTATACGACTATCTTTTCTTTCTTTCTCTTTTTTGTTTTTTTTTTTTTAACGAATTTGACAAACGAGCGGTATGTTGGACCCTGAAGTGGAAGCTGTGGTCGTCAATCTGCGACGAGGTTCAAGTTGTAGAATACCGTCGACCTCTTCTGTTGAAGGTAAGCTAGATAGTTAAGTAGGATTTGCCAAAAAAATCCACGAAACTTTGCCAACGATTTTCTTAATCGACGTGAAAGGTATTCAAGTATAATTATTATCATATTTATCGCATTCGTGTTAATCTAATTTTTTTCTTTGTATATTATATAAAGTGAGTAAAAAATATTGAACCGCTAAATATCTTGAAAACAAGATATTTCAGAAAAAAATGTTTCATATGAAAGTTGTAGAATATTGCCGTTTCATCAAACGGCAATATTCATTTGATCTTGAGTGTAGATTTAACAGAACTCTCAAAGTTGATTTTAAAATTTTGAATTGGAATTTCCACTTTTTAAATTAGAACTTTCACTTTTTTATTCAATATTCTTGATCGAAATCTTTTAAAATAACTACAATAAAACTTCTTTTGGTTAAATACTTTTTAGAGATATAGATTGATATTTTCGTATCGTCAACTTTTTCTCAAGTGTCTTGCTTTTAAGATATTTGACTTCGATACTTGTTGCTTGCCCTGTAGATAAAGTCCATAATTTCTTTCAATATGATTTTAAAAGAAAAAAATTGTCTTATGTATATTTTTATGGGACTATGATTTTTCAAAGTTAATCAGGCCTCGCATTACAGTATCATTATTTTCCGTCTCTTCCTCAACTGAATTATAATAAACGTGTAACTTTGAGTAATTATTTTCGATGTTAAATATAGATCCGTGATTATTGAAAATGATCTGATATTTAATACGAGTTGAGAAATATCAAACTTGGTATCATGTGTGCTAGTTATGAGACATGAAATATTCTCTTACTCGTAACGTGCGATACAATGTTGCGTGCTTGCACATCGCGATCGATAGGTTCCGGTACCAAAGAACATGTATATTTGTCTTTACTATATTAAGCGTCCCATTCCAAAATAATTACTGGATTCCATTAGAATGATACATAGATGAGCTTTTATTGTAATTTCGACATAAAATTAATGTAAGAATTAATATTCTAAAATTATTTTTGTTTGGTCATACATTTTTTTAACTATTTAAGAATATATTTTTCTTTACAATTATTATTATTTTTTGTACCTCTTAATTAGGTAAAAAAACATTTTTTGTGATACGTTATATTGAAATTAATTTCTTAGAGATATTTGCATACATTTTAATAAGAAAAAACTGTAGAAATATAAGTAGCTAATGCCTTAAAAAAATGTTACGACATCGCTCTTTGCAACTCAATGAGAGAGAGAGAGAGAGAGAGAGAGGGGGAACTATTTCTTATTATCTTCTCTTATTAACAATTTTTTATTAAATGTGTTCACAAATTCTAACAGGAATCTTCAAGGAAAAAGGTCATCAAAACAACGTATCTTTATTTGAATTATAAATGCCTAGATTAAATAATTAGTGGTTAATTGTCGGCCTTGTTCTGACTCATCTTTCTAGCGAAACACGAGCTAAAAAAAACTAGTCGAATGGAACATGTACAATGTTGCGCATATCAACGATTAGAAACATATGTGACATATGACACAAGCAGCACGTTACGTTTTCTTACATGAGTGGATTATTATCATGCACATCATAAGATTATTAATAGCGAGAAGTAAACATTTGGCAACATCTATTTGTGATTTATGTACTTGCGTCACGAAGAGCTCCATGTCAGAGAAAGATCAACTTCATTTAATTGTGGCTTTATTTATTAAATTATTAGCTGTGATTTTTTTATTATTAAATTGATTTAAATAGATCTATTTAAGTACTATACACAGTTCTCTATATTCAGTATGGAAACATTGACGAATTATTTTGAGAGAAATCCTCCATGTGTATATAATTGGCAGCAATTGCTTTGGCCACACGCTAAAGTTTAATATTAAGTTTGAAATCTAATCAATTAGTTTAAAAATAACTAAAATTTACGTAACACTTGAAATCATATATTTGATCTGCAAAATTAATTTTGTCGATAGCCAATATTTTCATGTTTAAGTGTTTGTTACGCTCCTTTAATCTTTGACGGACGTCAAATAGTATAGTTGAAACCATGATATGCGTGGCTTCGTCTGAATCACTCGTTTCAAGGTTCCGTAGAAGGTTTTGTAAATCTACTTTTATTGACTTTGCTTGAAGTTTTCCGATGGGATTTACGTTGATCGACGACGAAAGCAATTTTCCCAAGTCCCAACGGTATTCTCTCGGAACTCGCGTGACGCGTCGGGATAACGACCCTCCGGCTTTCCTTCGACAAAATCTCACGCATTCTCACTCCTACATTCGATTATTTTATCTTTAGACATTGTGTCTGTTTGTATCTGTATGTCGCGAATTTCCAAAATTAAACGATATTGCGATGCGACTTCGTCTGGCAGTTGTCTGATAACTGACGTCACCCTGACCGAATTATTGCAAACAAACTGCTCCGCGTTCCAAGTCACTGTAACCATAAAACCGTGGAGTTTGTGTTCAACTGCGGTCAAGTGCAGTCGACGATCACATTGCTCAGGTACAAAAATAATTCGAAAATTCACAAAAGCGTAACTTACTAACAATAATTTTAATTTGATTCATCGCTCTTGTTATATTATATTCATTTCTAAAAGTGAATTTCATTTAATTGAACCTAGAACAATTTTCTTATGTCATTTTTATATTAAATCTTATCACTACAGAATCGTTTTTTGCTACTTAATGATGCGTTGGTAATTATTTATATAATATTGTCTATTTTAAAAGATTATACAAATATATTTTTATTTCATTGCTTATAATAAAATCGCAGTTATGTAATGTTATACATATATATATAACATTATATAATTGCCATCTTACATCTTTACTAAATAGTAAAATATATAAATGTATTTGTAATCTTTATTTTAACGATCAGACAAAATTATTTTCAGATCTAACTAAATTTTTAAATACTATTACAAAACCGTTCTTTTCGAGTCATATGCTTTTATATATATATATATATATGTGTGTATGTGTGTGTGTGTGTGTGTGTATTGTATTATTTTCTAATATAATTATTTATATTATTTTAATTCGCAGAGAGGTTCAGTAGGCTCTAACTTGATACTGATTATAATCTAGTTTCATGTGGATACGATAGCAGAAAGTTCAGAATCGTGCGGAACGCGTAGAAATTTAATATGCATTAATTCTAATTTGGTTCGAATATGCAATTGGCAAACTGAGATCACTGAATCGCTGACGGCTCACGGATCGCATCTATTTGCATTGAATCGAAAATGTATATGGTGTGAATATAGCTTATATATTGCCGATATCATCTATGACGATAAAGTGTTATTATCGTCGTGCACACTTCGATCTTTATCTAAATCTTTATTTAAGCGTTGTGCAATTTCTGCAGGAAATGCATATTTGTCTGCCTGTCCTTTTGAGAAAATTAGAACTCGGGGGAAAAACATTTATTTTCCCACGCAATAAATAATTTTCTAAATATATGTCAAACAACAAGTAAATAAAAACATTTTTTAAATATTTTAAAAAATTTATTCAAATCGTTCACGAATTATTATTCCAAATGTAAAACAAAGCAGAAGTAAAGAGAAATTATTTATTCTATTTGTTATTTTTTACACTTTTATTTATTTATTAATTTATCTTATTCTAGAAAAAATTTCTAAAAGTATATGCGATAATTGTTATTACATAATATGATAAAACGATTTGAAAGGATCATATAATACATTAATAATTGGAAAGAGAAGTTGGAAATAAATGAACTGAGATAAGGCTCAGTTTTTTAACTATTTGGTTAATTGTGGTTTAGACTTAATTTTATTTGATGATAATGTAAAAATTGTGTTTCTTCATCTATGATTAATCACTAAACTAATGATTTTATATAGTGTGTGATAACTTTAAAAGTTATTCACTACAAAACCATCATTTGATGATTAATTATAGATAGAAAATACAATTTTACATTATTACTACAAGTTAATCAGAAAAAAACGGATTTAAAAAAGAAACATTCTTTTTCTGATATGAAGAAGTAGTGGGACTGCTTGTGTTAAAATAGGTCTTTCCCTCTTCGCAGATTCGCTCGTTGCACTCATAAAAATACAGTAATTTATACGATCGCGCATATTAATCATAATGATAGAATAATTTTTTACATTTTACACGGCATTCCTGATATCAGTCGCACACGACATTGTTTTACATTTGCATTGTAGCGAAATCCCAAATTCAATCGAAACGCGATCGTAAAAACAATGCGAAAAAAACAAATAATTCACGCGACACGTGCCACTCGGAAATTAATACAACAAATGATATCTCTGTATTTCGAAACATTTAATCTATTTTACGCTCTCAATCTAAAAGTATTATAACGAACAAATTGCATTTAAATTTAAATACGTGAAAAATTTGAGGCTTGATGCAAAATACATTCAAATGTAAATATCTTTTAGCAATTTATTTTCGTTTGTGCATGTATAAATATCGCAATAAAACAACTTTATAATACCTGTCTATCTGCCCCTACAATGTTTAAGTAAAACGAATAAACTTCGTGAAATATTTTGATAAAACTACTCACCAAGTTTACAGTCGCTCATCGCAGGAGTCAATTAATTACATCGATTGATAGTCGAGCTAATTGTTCGTTGGAAATAAACGCTTTCGGCTCCTTCTCGTATTTGATGCGATCGCATTTCGATGAGAATGACACGTGGAGCAGCTCGCGCTGCTACTTGCCGATTCGAATAATAACGATACGGAGCGAACAATACACTATCGTTCTTGTGGCTGGAGCTGCATGTTAAATAGTTATTACTATGAAATATGTAACGTTGGGTGCGGTCAAAATCTCACTATAAATGCTTCGAAACATTTGATTAACCAATCAGAAGAATACTTCATTTGTAGAATCACGTACCTGTTATTTCTACAATAATAATTATATACTGAATATTGTAATATTTCGAATTAATTATTATCAAACGTTCGATATCATCGCTTTTCATAATACTTGTCCAGTGATTCGTACGCATTTCCCACGGATAAAGAGAGAGAGAGAACGATAATAAATTATATTTAATTTCACAACATTTTCAAAGCACGTTGCTGATATTGTATATTTGAAATAATAATGTCTCGAAAGTTATAACGTGTAATTCTGATTTTCTATTGATTTTCATTCCAAATAAATAAATGTGAAATATCCGTTTCGATAAACAGCCATTTTAACACGCGTGCGAATCGCTGAAATTGATTAAACTTCATCGTGCAGGTTAATTTTTTATTATATTACGAGAATTATCATTTCAAATGTAACGAAATGCAAAACGATTCATGCCAGTTATTTATTGAATTTCATCGTACGATACGAACATGGTAATAGTTCTGTTTTAGATTATCACATTTTCTGCACTCTCTTCAAATGAAGTGAATACAAAAATGAAATAAGTATACATAATTAAAAATTGGATAAAAAACAAAAAAGATGAACGGTGCGACAAATTCAGTTGTAAAAAAACAAACCTACTAAAGCTGATATACACTTAGCGAATGAACATCAAACGAACAGCGAACGCAAATGTTCGGACATTTATGTTTGTATTCGTAAGTCATTTATTCCTATTCTTGATTGCATGGAATGCTTTGATTTGATTCGATTAAATTCAATGGTATAGCTTAGCATATAACAATAACCACACATAGCAATTGAATTTGTGCGACATTTGTGCAATAAATATCGAATTTTTGCAATCGGTATGCGTTGTTGGTGTATCCGGCTTAATTCGCGATCTTTGTGTAGGAAGCCGCATGCTATTAAACAATATTATGACCGTCCGATAATTATCACGAAATATTTAACATTATTTCTATAAAATAACGTTAAATATTTTTATTAAATATTTTATGTAAATTCATAAATGGGAAGGCTATGCATACGGATGTATTTTCGTAAAATGATTACATTTTATATTAAATATATTTCAAATCTCTTTCGTTTTTCAAAACGATATGAAATATTTATATTACTCTTTCAATTTGATATTTATAATGTTTATTGCAGCATACTGAGTTGAATAATTTCAACACATCTATGACGAAATTGCAAGCGCTTATTGCTCTTGAAAGCAGCAGCTGCATCTAATGGCAGCAATTAAATATAATTATGCAAGCGACTTTCGTTGTAATATCGAAGATAAATTGTTTGGTTGTTATAAACGACTATTCTCGTCTAGAATCGATGTTTACTGGGTAGATTTATTGTAATGGATAGTGAGATAATGGTATTTATATCATTTTTAACAAAAGAGAACATAGATCGATAAGAGCATTCGTAAATTTTAGGTTTATTAAGCATAAAATACGTTTTAGCTGCATCAGAGTTTCATCTGGGAAAAGATTATGATAAACAGATGTAATAAAATTATTTGATATTTTTAGATAATAAAAAACATCAGGATATTTAAAGAAAATTTTGAATTAAAATAATGATTAATTTACTTGGAATAACAGTAGATTCAGATTATTTTAACACAAATCATTATCGATTGGGCTTTGCTCTAAATTATGGACATGGAAAAAGTTTATATTTTTTGTAGATATTCAAATCTTCGACATTTTTTTATTTAGTATTTTTTTATTTAATTGAAAATGATATAAATTCGTTGAATATATAATTAAAGAAATTGATTGAAATTTCTATCAATGAATTTCTCGTGTTGAATTTTTTTACGATATTGTGATTTATTTTTATCTTTTCGTATTTTGCTTTTCCGGTCGCAAAGTTAAGTTCCGTGAAACACGTCATTCTTCTTCAACCTACGATTTCCAGGGTCTGAAAATGGAAGGGAATTCCGGGACGTTGCGGTTTCCAAGGAACCGCCTACTGCTTCTCTGTCATGTCATGCTGTGCCGCAAATAATTCGCGAATCACATTCGATCCACACGGCGCGTCGTCGATTCTTCCGAAAAATACAGTGTTTTCTCGCACGATACACAGAACGATGCGCGGCACATTGCCAAAAACGTGGTAATTTCGGTATACACGCGCGCCTGCTCGGCATTCTTGATTTTTCAGTTGTTGGATGGAAGGCCACGAGGTCGTATAACGTTCGTTAACCATTCGTGAAATATCTCTTGTGAAAAAAATTAGATCCATCTGTTCCACTTTCGCGTCATTGATTCACGTCGCATTGAATTAGCAGTGATGCGGAATTAGAAATCAAAATTGGTATAATTTTGGTGACCTCGATTTTATACATACTTGACATGGAAAGTTTACTTTGCAATAAGAGCCTATTTTTTTTTGGAGGGACAAGCTTGCGTTAAATAAAGAATAAATGAATAATAATTTAAATTTTTGTGTATTCAATAATTATAAATGATAATAAATAAATAATTTTTTGTGCATTCAAATAAATTTTCAATAAATTATTAAATAATTAATTAATAATAAATAATGTGATTTTTGTGTGTCTATACACTATAATGTTATGGTTGAAAAGTTATTTCCTTATTTTTTAATTGATCTTACAATTGGATACTTTTTGCATAGCGCATAAATATTCTGGACATTTGCGTCTACTATTGGCAAAATTTCAACGTTAAAATACTTAATTTAAATGATGGTGAAATCTTTTGCTTTTCTCGTTGAATGAATATTCATATTAATATTATATTCTTATTAAAATAATATGTAAATCTCGTCCCATTGTTTTCATCGTTTTATATCGGAATCAGTTATTCTCACCTACAATTTCAACAATTTGAATAAAATTTTCCGTTCTTACAGAAACATAAATATTCATTTCAATGATTCATGATCGATCCTTACTCGGAAAGAACGATGTTACTAAAATTTCTAAAGAAATAGCTTATAGATATATATATACAGATTTGAAAATAATTTTACTTGAACCATGAAAATAATTATGTAGAACGTTCAAATTTGTTAGAATATTAAACTTTTTTGCAACATTGCGTGTCAGCAATGCTTAAGTATTCCACACATAATTATTTTGCTGATCCAACAAAATTATTTTCAGATTTGTATCCAGCTAATTTTTTAGATACTTCACCAAAAAATCATTCTTTCCGTATATAAACTCGCCAAAGTTATACCGCTTTAATTTCTGTTTGGAATTTTCTCGATTTAGAGTTCTTTATACTTATTTGTAAGTATAGAGCTCAAATAGGTATCCTAAAAGATTGATTGACCGAAAGACTTGTAATATTTAGAAGAATTAGTGCAGGGATGGTTGGTTGGTAATGGGCTGTCGATCTTTGCTAACATGGCTCTGCGGGTGTTTCAGATCCAAGGTAAGCCGGCGCGTTCAACATAAGGTTTAAGCCACTTAAGCTAAAGGCACCTTGCGTTCGTAATACGCTCACGTAATGCAGGTAGTACATCGGAGATGCGGTACGCCGTTAATATACGAGTTGACGTAATGCACGAGCGGAGGATTTAAACGAATTAAAGTCGTCGATGACGGGGACGAAGCAGGTTCAACCGGACGACGAGTGTGTTGCTGGCGTGCGTTTTGTTTCCATCGTTTCGCTCTTTTTTTAATTCCGTAACGATAAATCACAGCAATTTGTTGCGTTCATTGAAGTGAAGACTAATTCTTTCGAAAGAGTTGTACGCAAAAGAGAAAGTTGTCGCATGAACATTCAATAGTTTTGTGAAGACGCGTTAAAAAAGTTCCGCGATCGAGTGAGGAACGTAAGGGATTTTTGGATGTTATTTTTAGTTATTTCGAAATACGTGTAAAAGTTTATACTTTGATATAAAAGCATATTTTATTTAGACAGTTAACTTCCATACAGCACAGAGCAAAGTCTCATTCCAGCAATATTACAGTAGCATTGTAAATGTTGTAGTAACGTTGCTGCAAGTGTCTGTATTGTAGAGGAGTCACTAAAAGAAAAGTGATATTTGTGACTATAATTACGTGATAAAATAATTATATGATTAAGAGCTTCATTTTTATAATTATTACTGTTATATTATTAGTAATAATAATTATATTTATATATATAAAACTATAAATATAATTATTATTACTAACATTACAGCAATAATAATTACAAAAATGGAGCTCCTACCATGCAATTGTAGTCACGAATACTACATACAATTACAGTCATAAACACTTTCTTTCCAGTGTTTGACGTTTCATGGAATATTGGAAAAGTGAGTGGATTTTATATATATAATTCGAAATTTGATCACCAAGTTCCATTTAACATTGCACATTAAAAATAAGAATCTAACTTATTTGAATCAAGAAGCAATTGCAAATAGTTTTCTCGAAAAAGATATCGATGTTAAAGTTAATCAGCAAGTATCCACTATTAAAAATAAAAATTAAAATAAGAATACTGGAAGATACCTAGTTTTTTAGTTTAAAAGGAGTGTGAAAGAGAAATTTCATAATAACACTTCTCTCCATTCTCCAGATTTCCCAATCATTACTCGTAGATTGCTTTCACTTTTGTGATTGACACGACAATAGCAGCCCACGTCAATCATTGATACAAGTAGTGACTAATCATATGTATATTGTGAATTTAAAATTTCAGAGAGTGAGCTAGGCTTGCGTCGCGGTGGTTCTCTGAAGATCCCACGGACGAGCGACAATCATCACGTCGCGCAGGAACGCCTGACGAGCACGAGATCGTCGCCGTCGTCGACGTTGTCGGTGTCAACGTCGGCCTCCACGTCTTTGTCGACGGACAGGTGTGCCGGTGGCGGCGGAAACAATAGAACGTTCCGGTCCGCCAGGCGATACGTACCCGAAGCTGCGAGTGACGCACCTGCGCCAGAGTACCTCGCCAGGAGCCTCTTGCAACTTGGATGTCCTGCCGTGTCGATGCCCACGTAAGTCACTTTTCCGGCACACTTTCCATCCTTTCTCTTCACGCTAGGGAAATCGAAGCCACTACAGATATATAATCTTCGTTGAATTCAATTTTCCGCGCGAAAGGCGTACAGGAAAAATAGACTTCGCGTCATCAGTGAAGTCATATCAATCATCTCATTGTCATGAATAAATATATAGGTGATCTTGACACGTGTGGCGAATCACATCGGAATCTGAACTCATCGGAATTAAATCGGCCCCGATCTCTCTGAGATCGTGATCTCTCAATGGCGTTGATTATTTACTCGGTCAAGGCGACGTTTTAAAGAGGAGTCGCATCGAACGGAACGGGATGTTGGGCGGATCAGCTCGAGGGTTGGTCCTAATTGCGCAACCCAGGTATGACGCAACACGGAAGACGTGACAAAAGATCCCGATCACGTCGGGATATGTTTCCGCCCACGTCTAGCCGGGAGCGAGACTAGAAGAATAGCCCGATTACCCTTTCCTCTCCCGTAACACTTCGACGCATTTGTCGGATATAATTGTATCTCGTTAAGGTATCGTTCCCACAAGATTTGCAAACTCCGAGAGGCCATTGTGTCGTAACTCTAGGAAATAAGATAAAAATTCTAATAATGCTGATTTTTACGGTACGGTAGCGTGTGCATTATTAATGACGTTTGATTGTTGTGTGAACGGCACTTCGAGTTAGCCCTCGCAACGAACGCTTCGTGTTCCTGCCTCCGGACGACCCTTCTTTGTCGGGTTGGAACGATGTCGACGGACTTCCGCGATCGCGTTTGGGAATGAACGAGCGAGTTGCAAACGGTCCCCTTCTTCAACGAGGAAGTCATTTTCATGCCGCGAGAGTCTCGTGAGACAATTAAATGTGGCTGTGCAGGTACAGTGGAGTGCAGTCGATGCTCTCCCGCTCGTCGCAATATAAAGGGTTAGGGTTAAAAGACATGAGAAGCGGTGATTGATGCGATCCTATATCTACAACGCAGAGTATTTCATTAACGTTCCAGCAACGTTGCGATGTTACTGCAATATTGCTGGAACGTTCTTATACGGTACAGATTTTCTAATCAAAGTCATAAAATAACGTCAAGATTGGGTCGGCAATGCCATTTTTCAGCAAAGATTTATGACTGTGCATTGGAAAAAGATTTGGTTGCACTAATTGGAATTCTGATTGAAAATGGACTATTTAATTAGCTGAAAAATGCCACTAATCAAAATTACAAATGATATCTCATGACTTTGAACGCGATTAGAGACTCTATAACAGAGTCATGACAAACATTTGATTAGTCCGGCATTTTTGTCAACTTCAGTAAATTAGAATGAATAAGATAGTCTAAGTTAGAATATAGATAGCATATATAAAAAGAGACAGTATATATATCCTTCTTTCTCACTTTTATTTTGACAATTGTTCAAACTCTGTTATAGGGTCTCTATAGGTACGTAATGCTAAAGGATGCTTCCCATTTCACATAAACATTATTCTATCTTTCTTGGCATTCAGAGAGTAACCAAGATAGAACGACGTTTGTGTCGACAAATGAAAAGTACACACAAAGCCTTTGAAGCATTTTTCGATTAATCGGTTTATAAAATTTCTTCTTCTGATTGATTAAATCAAATGCTTCGAAGCATTTGTAGTGAGATTTTGACCGCACCCTTTGATTAGAGGGCGTTTAATGTGGCCATGATCCAATATATGCTGTCAGTATTGAAATTCTGCAGTATACGTACATAACATGAACTATAGACTTTCAGTACTGGCAGTGTATATCGCAACGCCCTGTATGGAATGTACAGTGGAATGTACGTTTAACATACCTCAAAATATTGCAAAATTAAATTCAACGAAAGTATATCGGTTACAATTCTCCGGAATTTATTGTAACCAAGTGCTAAAATAAAGACCAGTCTTTCAGTATATATATTACTATCACTATATATTCGTAGGAATTATATTCATAACAAAAACATATGGATGTAAACATAATATTGAAAAACAGACGGACGATGGAAAATATTGACATTACAAAGAGCGTTGCGGCGTAACAGGCGAATGAGTATACTCCGTAAAAAAAGAAAAACAGGATGAAAGGATAACAGATCAACAAGACACTAGACAGAAGAAAAACAAAAAGGGGAGGAAGATAGTACGTCAAGAACTTTTGTTAGAAGATTGATCGCAGATTCTCCCATAAAACTAAAAGGTGTGAAAGATGAAGATATATTATATTGAATCTCAAAAATCGTTAAATCGCACAATTACTTTCGACACGAAACGATAAAAATCCTGGGAGGAGGATTTCACGTGAGCAAACCTACCGAACGGCGAAAAACGAGAGAAAAACAAACTGGCTGATTGACAATTACGAAGTTTCGAAATTGCGAACGGCGGTCGCGATCAGCTGACCGCCATCGCGGTCACCGTGGCCGCTCGATGAGGAGACGTGAGAGCGAGAGCGAGCCTCAGGATTCACCTCGAAGCAACCGCTCCCGCGAATACGACCAGCACGCCGTTCCCGTTGCTGGTGTGTGCACCACTATCGTAGCTATATAGCTATCGCGATGATATTCGGTCAATAGGTAAGCTGCGCGGCGCAGACGCGGCGGTACCAGCCTGTCGCTCCCGTACGCGTTCGTTTGTGTGCGGTGCTCACATCATCGTACCCCGTGCCACACGTACATCCGCGAAAGCGTTGCCGAGACCCGCTGCTTGCGGAGAGTGGAGCACGAGCGCGGGCACGCTTCGCGCCGCATTGCTGTATTCCTCTTCTCGTCGTCCGAAAATACATCCGGGATACCGAGGCGAAGGAACGGTGGTGCATCGTTCTCTTCCGTCAACGTCGTCGTCGCATCTTCTCTTCCAAGGGGAGCGCTTACTAACATCTGTGGGACGATCTCCATCCTTTTCTCCCGATCTTCGGTGACGTTGCTCTCGGTGACAGCCAAAAGGATCAGGAAAGAAGAGGAGCGAGAGAAAGGCGAGAGAAAGGTGGGAGTCTCGAAGAAGAGAAACGTCGACGGCCGTCGATGTTTTGAGAGGGATTTTTCTTTTCGAGGATACACACAGTGAAGGAGAGGTGTTATCAGCTGATAAGGGAGTGTGTCACATCCGGGGCCGCGCGGAAGATTCCGCCGCGGTCCTCGCGCTCGACGTTGGCTTATCATCGGCGACACGTCGCGGTCGGCGAGGCGCGAAGCGGAAAGAGGATGCGGGAAAATTGGCATAATTGAAGCTGCGCTTAGCGTGGGGCAAGACCTAGTTCCAGCTCAGGAGGAGGCTTTGCATGTGTCCACTGCTGTGAGCAGCGATAACGCGGGACAGTGGCGCCTCTCTACTGGACTGCCAGCTACGATAGCACTCATCGCAGGTGCGACCGAAGGCCCGCGTGCCGACGTCCAAAGTATCAATGTAGACGAATCGTTGTCCGTAAACTGATTTTAGTCGGTCATTGAAATGCGATCATTATTATATTCAGGATTATGTAATTAGAATTATAACTATGATTGTGACAAATTATAGTTGTGATTGCGATAAATTATAATTTGTTGCAATTGGCCTTGCGATATTTCACAATTACTATCATATTTGTTACAATTGGGCCAGTTGCAATTAATTATACTTTGTTGCTATTGACTCAAATCGATTGACGTAAATCGCTTTAATTTATCCTTTAATTAAATGTACTGGCATTAAGATAAAACGTAAGGAACTTAGGGGATACGTTGCATATTTGAAACATTTGTTGCAGATCTAATTGTTTCTTAAAAAATTTAAGGGAAGATCAATCTTAAAGCTGGGAGTAGGTACTAAATTTAGATAAATATTCTCAAGTTCTTAAAACAGCGTTTCTTAAAAGAAACGGGCTATTGAATTGAACTGCTCTTCAGCTCTCGGATCATCTATTGTTATTGTGCCATCATTGCATAAATAGATATTGTATCATAATACTTGGCTTTTACTCTTTTCTTCGCAGTCATTTTAATATTTATTATTCATGATTATGCATGCGGCTTTAATAAACGATCAGTATTGCTGCCAAGTCTTTACCGAACTAAAAGAATCACGAATCAAAAATTCACGTTCTTGTTAGAATAATCAATTATGTTACAAAAAATGAAGGATTAATTAGGAATGAACGAATAAATATAAATATGGAGCGTTATTACTAACATATTGACTGACAGATGTAGATATATATTTGCATGGCTTCTACGTAGCTCAGCGATTAAACTTTGGATGCTGTACTATCGCGAATGAAAAGAAACTTGTAAATAAGCTCTTTTTCAAAACAAATTTGTAGCTCGCAACGAAACAATATTTCAACTCTTAAACGAATTTTCAGTGCTTCATCTCGATAAAGAATATCTACCGTGAACAAAATATAATTCGAGTTTAGCGCGAACAACACGCTTCGCGTGAATGCGAATGTTTTGTGAGATGTGAAATTGAAGAAATCATTGCGTTTGCTTCTGGAATGCTGTTTGTTCTGAACAGACTTTGTTCCGGACGTGACGAATGCTTCGCAGTTGTACGACAAATACATTCGTCCTGTCATGAACACTCTCACTCGACGTGACGGATATGAGGCAAACGGTAGAGCAATCTGAGGATTCGCGGAATATGCATGTTTTTTTTTCTTTTTCGTTTATTATTGCGTATACATTTTGCTATTCTAGAAATACACTTCCGCAGTAATGCGGCTGCACTGGCGTAATGCCAGCGTAAGTTTAAGACAATCGATCCCACAGTCTTGTGCTCTGCGAAATATATAACATAAGGATCCGGAAAATCAAGAGGCAAAAGGAAAAAAAACAATACACATGCTAAATTGTTAAAATATAGACTGAAATCAGGATGTAAAAACAGTGGACATTTAGTTATTTTTGAAGTTTGTGTTACATAGGACTATCAGAAAATTGAATTCCTAAAAGGGAATTACGATGTTTTTAATTTATAAATTTTATTATTGGCATGTCAATGAATTAATATTTATTTTATCCGTTTTCTAAAAAAATTATATCACAAAAATCTAAAATTGCTCTGATTAATCTTGCATTTAAATTAAAATTTAATTTTTTAATGAAACTATTATTTTAATATCACGATTAAAATATTATTTTGATGCTGCGTTTTGTTTGTCTTTCAAATTTCGCTTTCGATCAATTTAATTATGATCCTATGAATGGCGATAAGTATTCTGAACATGATTCAGATACCGCTAATAAAAGAAGCCGAACGATTTGCTTTACAAGCAGCAATTGCTCCATAACGTGCGCAAAGAGTATACTTCACGGAGATAGGAATCTTTCCACGCTGCTCTCGTTGAAGCACATGTATTGTACTCTCTGTCCATGTGAGATAGAGTCGATTAACTCGCGGTTTGGTTAACTCAACCAGTTAATTTCCCGATCCGCATCGCAATGGGATTCGTCACGCTTCTGGCGACAGCTGATCGTGACGTTTGCTTGTTGTCATGCCTCGAATATTTCCGATCGAGTTTTAAACTCAGAAATTTGCGCATCCTAAACGTGTGCTCGCTAAAATTATCAGTGTCTCTATTTAATATTATTAGTATATGTTTTATCTCTTTATCAATTTCTGATAGAAATTATTTCGCAACGAGGATGTATGTATTACATATTTCGCAGTTTAATTTCTATATTTTTTTAACCGTACATATTAGACGTTATAAACAATAAAAATTTTACTGGACCGTACATTTGAAAATTCAACAATAAGAAATAGAAGTAATGGCCGACATCGGCTGTTACCTCTATTTCTTATATTAGACATTTTATAGATACAAAATGTGTTCTACAAATTTTTTCTAGAAAAGAAGTTATATAAACTACACGAAAAAGATGGTTGTGCTGAAGTATCTGATTAACTTACCTAGGTTATAGGATCTGAAAATAATTGTTGGACCATGAAAATAATTATGTAGAACGTTTTAACTGATTGTTAGAATGTCAAAACTTTTGCTCACCATGATTGAGATTGTTATGTAATTATTTTGATAATCCGACAAAATTATTTCCAAATCTGTATGTGTGTCTACATATAAATAGCTAAATCGTTAGATACTTTATATAGTAAAATCTTTATATAGTAAAATCTTCAAGGGTAGATGTGCATCAGAGATGCTCTATATATCTTTCGTTTCTAACTGGATCAATACATCTGTTGGCAATATATCGTACGGTTACATATCGTATATCACGACGGTAATTCGGTGATTTAAAATCCACGTGTCCGTGCATTACAAACTGATTGTCGCACGAAGCTTGGAAAATCGAGTTGAAATATCGATCTCTTGGTCAAACATGAGAGAACAGAATAGTTTAACCGGCCTGATTAATTATCACTAGAAAGGTGTATTTCAGTTCGAATGCATATTGCATGATATATCTCGTATACTCTCGGTGATACGATACAAATTTTGTAGAATAGAAATTCGACGCAGAGTCACGCGAGACACTCCGCGACCGTACTTCATGGCGACGTAATGAAATTTGTGTCTCTCGTTCATCTGTTCATCAATATCCGGTGATTCGTTTTATTGTAGACCTCGAGGCGGTGTCGGGTCGGAGCAACCGCCAAGCAGTGACAGCGATGACTATACCGCTCATCACCAGCAGCAAGGTACGGGTTATGGACAAAACCTGGACAGTTACACCGTGCCCAAAGTCAAGGTGTCGGGCCCATCTAACGCCGATGAATCCGCTTCCATCATCAATGGGTGAGTTTTACGAACAATATCAGCAATTATCAGAGACTTACAGATCACAGCCGTCCCCATATTTTAATTAAATAAATTTGTTAAAGGATTAGAGAAAAAAAAAGCACATTATAATTCTTTAATCCCTAAAAAATTATTTTACTGTGAAAGGAAAAAATATACACCAAGTGAAAAAGTATTGAACTGTATATTACATTGTTTCTAAAATCAAAAGCATTAATTTTTTTATTAACAAACGATTTAAATATAACTATTAAAAAATTAATTATCATTAATTTCAAAATATCGAATATAAATTAAAAAATAGAAAATATATGTAATATGTTGAACATATTTTAATCTCGAATGTGAATGTTGAATATAATTATTGAAAAATGAACTGTCATTAATTTTGATATCGATTGACTTTAATTAACGTTGGGAACGGCCTAGTCAAAAGTAAGTGACTAGGGACGCTATTATTAATGTAATCACAAGAATGGCAAACGTATTAAGTTATTAGAATTGAGAAGATGATTTCGATGAATGGCTATATCAGATTAGATTTCAACTGATTAGGCATTCTAGGAATATTTTGCGTATTTATTAACGTCCATTTTCGTCTGGCGAATAAACGATTTTATGAATGAATAGCGTGTAAGCGAGACGCAATAAAGATTCTAATCGACGTTGAGTGACAAAGAGTTCAGTATAAATATATACATATCTAGCATGCTCTTAATTTGCTAATTCTTATGCAACATTATTTAGTTTTTTATTGAACAATATTTTAACGGTAATACTATGCTAAAGGCATGCAATAAAATAAATTTATAATTATATTATGTATACATTATTTTTAAAAAATAACATAAAATAACATCAAAAATAATATTTAAATGAGAAATGTTAATAATCAAGTTTCAGAAGTATACAGTTACTTTAAATTTAATAATTTTCGGAAGACGTAACTAATTGTTTCATTGAAAATCACATTTTTTTTATATTAACAAGAATAAAAACAGAAATAATAGCGTCCTGTCTTCATTATTGAGAATAGAAAAATCGCAAATATATGACATTTTAATAGCAAGTATTGTATTAGAGAAGTAATTCGATTTTTATTTAAGTTCGATTTAGATTAATATATTATATCGCTACTATATCGCAAGATTACTTAACTGTAACAAGTATTATGTTACATAATACTTGAATCGATAACTTTTCCTTCTTGTACGCAACTCATGCGTAACAATGCACGGCGCTTACCTTGTAGAGTAACCAGGTACGCGACAAATGATAAACAAATAGTCGCCACGTCTGATAAGCTCTGTTACTTTTGCGTCATTGTCAACAAAATTGTTCTCGTTCCCATATTCTCATATCGTTCAGCATCGCTGTGCAGGTGTGTTTATAATAAGACCGTGCCTCGTGTTATCGCGCTATAATGATACACCTCGTGATCTGGTGGCTGTCGTTGCCAAATAGTAGATAATTCTTCATCAAGCGTAAACGTACATTGATAAGAAGAATTCTTGCCGCACGGCATCTTCCGCGATGAGACTTCGAATCGCGGTCGAAAGAGTAGGAAGGAAGTGTCGAAGCTCTGCAAGATGTTAGATACCAGTCGAAATCTTGTACGACACACGAATCGCATCAGTGATTAAGTGGCGCTCGGGTGAAAGATGACAAAGATCCGCGATACAAAATCCGAGTTGTCGTTGCGAATCCGACGACTCGGAGTTCTTACTAATAATAATAAAGATAACATCTCGACGGCACTGAGAATTTCTCGAACTTGCAAGGATTGTTTGCTGGCGAATTACGAGATCGTGTTGCATCGGTTAAGAATTAAGAGATGCGACGAGCAAATATCGTGTATGTGTCATGAAGAGGAGGCGCGTCTGCAAAAGCATGAAAGCACGTCGAAGTGGTAAGTATATTATAATACTATATATTTTGATATATCTATGTGCGATGTTTACAGTTTCTAATTATGAAGAAAATAATATATTCGCAAGCTTATTATTAAATCTACATTACTCGTGTGGTTTTTTTTAACGTAATTACTCGCATAGGATGTATCTGACATCTCAATATTATATCTCAATTTTCATTGTTTTTTTTTTGATGATTTACAATTTAATAAAAATTCATAATATTCTGTATATCCTTTAGATAAAAATATAAATGCAAAAATTTTTTCAATATGTACACAATTTACGTTAAATATACTCACCTGTAAAAAATGTAGGCCACTGTATACCTACATTTTTTTGCAGGTGTATAAATATATAATAATGTGTATAAATAGTATTTATACATTTAGCAAATTTATAAAGCGGGAGTGTTCTGGACACTTCACACGCGAATAGAATTAATAAAATTATATTGCATGAAATAAATTTAGCTATTAAAAATTTCCCATACATAATAGAGAACTTAAATTATAATAAAATATATAACGTATACACAACAAATTGAGAATCTTGATTAACTACATATAATTTAAAATATTCCGTATTTCAAAGTTAATATAGATAATCCAAAATTAAATAAAGTATAATTTAATATTTAGGAATATATTGAAAACGTTTCTTTCAAAAATATGAGGACACTTGTTAATATTTATTTAATTGCTATATAAGTGCTATATAGCATAAAGTGCTATTATTCAAGTATATTTTATTAATATTGAATCTTAAAATAATTTTTAACTTTGAAAAGATCATAGTTGAATCATAGATTATTTTGCTTGTCGAAAAGATTGATAAACGTATGAACAGATTGAATCGCGCGTTGATTAATCGAATGACACGGTATGTTCAATATATCATTTCGATCTTGTCGCTTGTATATAATTATTTTATTTTTTTATATACATTTTATAATATAGAATGGAGAAGAGATGTAGATTTTTAGAAATCGTTGTTTGTATCTATTACAATTTTTGAAAATTATCATAGAATATCTTTATTGTCTCAAATATCATAGAAAAACTGTATTGTTATTAAAAAAATCAATAAAATGCACGGTTTAATAGTAGTTTAATTTTTTCCGAATTTTTCGCGACGAAAGATTCTACAGAAAGACTTATCAACTTATTTAATTAATGTTCGTTTGTATGATCGATGATAGATGTAATATACATCGAAATACTTTTTCGTAAAAATGGACTGACAAAAAATAGTGATTTATTGTATATTATTCTTCAATAAATTTGATAACACGCGTTTTTTTTTAGAAATTGAATAAATAAAAAAAAATAAAGTCTTATAAAACTTTATTAGTGCTGCATAATAAAGTTTTTAATTTACATTGTTATTGCTCCAAATCGATAACCGATATTTAAATAAATAAATTAAATGTAATTCTATGACGAAAATAATATTATTATTTATCGAAGAACTTGATTATTTGATAATATTTTTGTTGAATCGTTTATAGAATTTATCATTCTGTCGTTCTCGCTGTAGAACATTTTTTTGTCAATTGAAAATGACGATTCAATAGGCGCGAAGTTATGGCCGTAATTAATCATAATGATTGCATTAATTATTACAGTAGCGTCGGTTGATTCGATCGAAAATGAGTGGCACAACGTGCACATTAAAAGTCGCTATCACAATCGACTCTAATGTCGCGGACTCTATGCGTTGTATAAATGCAGCCTAGAGATAGGTGCGCTAAGCCATTACACGCTGATCAATATGTCTCATGGCCCGTAAACAAAACTCCGGCGTTCGCCTACGTATTTTTAGAGCAATTTTTTCCTCCATCGTTCAAGGGCGAGGTTCAAAAATAAATTATTAAAGAATTTCTCCATACGCGCTCTTAGACTTATTTGCACAGTCAGTTCTCTTTGCATTATTCTGACAAATAGAATGCAGACGACGATGTTTGGTTTAACGATTCTCTTCGATTCCTTGACAAACTGAACGGATAACGTAATATCCTCTCTTGGACTCGTATTTACAGTTGTATTTTTGTTAAAGAAATCAGAAATGGAAACATGATTAAGAAATAGAATTTGTAAGAAAGATGTAAGATGTGAGAAAACGAATGTAAGAAAAACTATTTTTTTAGCGATATAATTCTGATCTTGTAAAAATATATCTTAAGGTCTCTATTTTGTAATTCTTAACGACAGTAGCGATTGTTATGTTGTTGTTGCGCAGTTTTTTTATCATATGCAAAACCAGCACAACGACAATGTAACGATATTCTTACTGTCATTAAGAGTTACAGAAAAGGAGCTTTACCTGCACTGAGAAAAATGTCTGGTTGAAAATGGACGAACTGGAAGATTATATTAATAAATAATCACAACTAGAATTCTAGTAAATTATCGAAAAAAATTCCGATTCGTCCATGTTCAACTAAAATTCCAGTTGATCCAACCAAATATTATATCAGTCTGCTATTTTGCAACTGATATAACGTTGGATAATACGAATCGAGTCCGATAATGTGAGAAGTCGCGTTATATCGAATTGATAATAATTGATTTGAGAAGGAAGAAACGGAATTAGTATTCATAATTATTTCGTAATACGTTAAATATTTCCCAGCAGCGAGGCTGTCTGACTGACGACCTTGATGTTCGTTTCGATCCCGACACAAGTGACAAGGCTGCCTCGTGCTGTATTATCATTCACACGGAAATATTCAAGCGAACAGGTAATCCAAATCGCTCCATCTGTCTTCATATTATTCATCGAAACTCGGTTACTTTATACGAACAATTAGCTGTCGGTCCATGTGTTTTAATTAACTTCCACGAATGTGTGTCTGCTGTTTGTCGAAGTATCTTGTGTGATCCAGTCATTTCATATCGCGGATCGAAGTGATAGGAGGCGAAAACTTAAACTACTGTTTTATTTATACGAGCTGTAATTTCTTTAAGGATAGTTCAATTCGGATGTACTTCCTGTCGCACTTTAAATACTTTAAAATTTGAATGAAATTTGTTATCAACCTTTCGGGTTGATATCGCGGAGTATTTAATATATGAATGGATC